GTAACAAATATATTGGAAACCAAGCCTGCCACATCTGTTTCAAAATTATTGGGAGTGACACCTCTTGTAAATACCCTAGACAAGGCCAGGAAAGCCCTTCACAAGAAGGAAAACTGTCAAAAAAGATACTATCAAAATAAGTATAAAGATACTTTGGCTTCTGTTCAAACACAAGTGCTTGCAGCCACCAAAAGTACACAGAGGAAATAGAAAAGTGGGAGAGAATTTGTTGTCAAGAATGGTTTTGCACCAACTTTTGAACACTTTCAACCTGAAGTGGCCCTTGGGACTGCATATAAGAAGAAGAAATTGAGTAGGGAACTATTGAAACACTGGAAAACAACTGTACATGAGCATTAACACTTCACAACTGACCAGACGATGTCACTGTTTAAATGTGTATACATATATAAGGCTTTTTTTTTCCTACTGAATCTCTGTTTTTGAACAGTTGGACTTGTTGATGACTATTTGATTTAGAGTTACACTGAAGAAGTTTTCATAGACTTTAAACTTAACAAATTTTCATTAATATATGTCACATATTTCATATTTTAAATATTTCATATTTTAAATAATAAAGAATATTTTGCAAGGAAGCAAGTCATTTTCCTTTGAACAATTAACAATTATTGGATGAGGTTGAGCAAAATATCTGATTTGTACGTGGCGAGCAGATCCATTATTTGCCAAAACCGAAGGCTGAGGCAAATAATTGATCTGCGAGACACTGACAAATCACAATATTTTGCGATAAGTGAGTTCAATAATTGTTTTATCATTCAATCACCGAGTTTGTTTTCAATTTTTTGGAGGAAGTGGCAAGCGAGTTTGTTTTCAGTTTTTTTGGGGGTAGTGGCAAGCGCACACTGTTGCCAGAAATCAAATGGTTTCCTTCTCAGTTAAATAACTTATTCTGTCAACTTTAAATTGTACATACAGTCAACTGTTAATTAACAAAATGTATGCCTTCAAATGGCTGAAACTTCCAGGAACAAGTTCACAGTCATCAAGGATTTGAAATCCAAAAAAAAAGAGAAAATGTATTCATTGATGAATTAGCTTTAACACAATCTCTGCAAGTTCACTTTAAAAGTTGAAAGTGCAGTACATTGGAAAAATTAATAACTGTCTGCTGCGTGTTAGATTGCTCGATACTTAGCTCATTTAGAATATGCTCTTCCTGAGAGGCTGTGAGAAGGGGTTGCGGTGCACTCTCAGCTACAGGAATCGAAGAGGTTGCCGTAATGGTTGTTAAATGATTCTGATAATGATTCTGATAATGTTTACACACAAGAGCGACCGCACATGAGCAGACCATTATTTGTAGGCAGTTATTTGCAGGTCATGTGGTGGGCTCCCAGCCAATGAAAAGGGGGAAAAAAATCCTTTGAATGATAATTGTAGTTATTTAATTCGTCTGAACCAGGCCAAGTGTAAACTCATACAACTTGTATAGGTAATCGCATGGGGCTGAGTAAAATTAAGGACTAATATCACACGTGTTTTCGGAAGTTGCTGAAATTGCCCGAGTCGCGCAGCAACAAGGGCAATTTCTGCAACTTCCAAAAACAAAAGTGATAATAATCCTTAATTTTATGAGGAACCATGTGATTACTTGTTTTCAATATAAGGGGCAAAATGTTTTCTTACTGATCTCGCGCAAAATGGGACGCCATCGTTACAAAACAAACAGAAAATTTCTTTACCTTGGCAGCCGTTGCTAAGCGATTTTCAGTCAATCATTTTCAAGTAATTTTGCCCGGGGCAATTACAAAAATTAAGAAAAAATGCCCTCTGTCTTGACCAATCACAATTCAGTAATTTTGCCTCATATAATAAAAGTTAGAAATGACTCAAACTAGCAATTATCACAGTTTAAAGCAGACAATCAAGCAAAACGTTGATCAAGTGATTTACATCCACTAACAAGCTTTCGGAAACAATTGATGCAAAATCAAACTTTCCTCTGATCTACTGCAAGCTAAAGAGATATTTAATCAATTTAACCAGTATTCCCGTTTTAATAGATCTTTAAGCCAAGTCATATTTATGATGAGCGAGATAAATGCAAAATCAAAATAAGAAACGACCATTAAGAAACGGGGGCAAATTTTGTTTACGGTGATGAAATATGACCTTCCGAATTAGTTGATCAACTACTAGCTTCTTCATACCCAAGTGGCTGTTTATTACTACGAGAAGAATTCAATGTTTATGACTGCTCGATTTAAAGAGTTAATGTAAGCTTAGGAAATAGGTTTAGGACTTTAAGATTTACCACATTTAATTGATTTGTGTTTTACGCTGTGAATCCCAAGAATATTTTACAAGGAAACGAGTCATTTTACTTTCCGAGAGGCCTGATTTAGCGTTATTTCCCACTGTTTACAGCATTTACATGATTCAGTCGATCGGCCAGCGCAGGTTAACGTCCACTAAATTAAAATGCTTTCCAAAACAATACATAAGAAAACTTACCTCTATTACAAACTGCAGATACATTTCATTAGTATTCCCGTCCAAATATTCCCTTGAAACAAGTCAAATCCACGATAAACTACAAACACTTGTTACGCGCCATCTACATACATAAAAACACGAACGGAATGAAATACGAACGTTTCAAAGTTAATAGAGTTAGCTATTAGATAATGCCTAACTTGGAACCTTACTGGGGCTCCGGTCGTCCTCTCGGACCCATTCCATAATTCACCTGAGTTGTAATCCGGTGTCCCGGGTTCAAATCCTTCACCCTGCACCCTGCCACTCCAACATCACTGAATTTGTTCTCGGTTGCCCCTAGTTTAACTCCTCGGCTACGCTCTGTGAAGAGCCCACTAGTCTGCCTTCTTCCAGTGGGGATTTTTAAGCACTTAGGAGGAGCTTCAATTTACGTATTTATTATTTATTTATATTATTTATGGCCTCTCTCCAAAATCGCTTTTTAGGACGACGAGACAACGTTTTGCCATACATTTCCTTCTAGCGACTTGTAATGTTTACCCTATGGCGATCCCAGAATTCTCTGCGTAAGGAACACAAGGATCGATTAATTCTAACTTATTCATGGTCATGATGTAGTCCCCATGAACATGTCCTTGAAAGTGCTGAGGTTCCCGCTGATTAAGGGTTCCAACTGTGAAGGCTTGGTAAATGCTGAATTTAGCTTAGAATTTAATTCTGAAATGGAATAAAGTTGCTAAGGAAAAGAGACGGATAGGAAACAGCGTAAGCTCTTGCGTCATTGCTCAAGATAGGGGAAGGTCTAGAGAGCAGCAGACACGTTTTCATTTAAAAAAGACATCCTTTGGATTGTTAAAGACATATTTTGACAGTTCCTATGTCATCATCGAGCTAAAAAAGTGCAAAGTTGAATTTGTAATCTTGCCCAAAATGATAATTAGTATTATTACAAAAGGAAACGTGACAACGTAAAAAAAAGTACAGGAAGTTAGTTTATGGTACAATCGATGATTAAATGTGCGCGAGTTGCTCCCATTTGATAGTAGAAATTCTATGATCTTAGGTTGGAAATCACTAGTAGTAGTTTGATCAAAGATTCTAAAACAATGGCGAGAACGGGGAGTTATTGAGGCGAAACCACCCGGTATATTTCGACATGCGAGCATGAGCACCTTTATTACAAATCGGAGCTACTTACCTTAATTATTTTCAATCACCGAAAAAATAATCTAAAGAAAGCGAAGGTTTTATACGTTCTTAATTATGACCACGAGAGTTGAATGAAAATTTGGCGATGAATTCCAACAGAATCATCCTGTGACATGAAGGACTGATACAAGATTTAACAATTACTCCATGAACGCGCGTTGGAAATGAGATGGTAAATGGCCAACGAGGCGCGCAACGCCGAGTTGACTGTAACCGATCTCGTATCCAACAAATGCGAATGGAATAATTGTTTTATTAAAGATCCTGAACATTTGGATATTTGTAGCTTTTTTTCAGCTCCGAAACAGTTGGTGCGATGCATTTCCAAAGAAGGTGGCTCGGAGTATAAGCTGATAGCCGGAGTTAAGTGAACCAGTCAGAAGACTGAAAATCCAATATTCGACGTTGCAATTGAAATCATATACAAGGTCATACAATGATGCTTCCTTTCAGTTAAAACAAAAAATAATTAAAAGGAGAATATTGATCATAGTTGTAAAGATAATAATAATGGCGAAAAGAAGAATATGTAAAGAAAAAAGTTATGCCTAACTTATGTAAACCCTTATCCTTAACTACAAGAAATTCTTGCAATTCTAATAGGTTGTCTTGCAAACAAGTTATGAGAACAGGCAAGCTTTTCAGCCAGAGGGTGTTACTTTGGAATGACGCCAACTTCTGCTGTCTAATTTACAAGGTAAAGTTATGGTGGTAAGTAGGGAAAATTACTAATTGGATTTTGGGGATTAAAGGGGTTAGTGAGGCAACAGAAACATAAGGGAAGAGACCGACTGAACGAAAGCAAACATATTAAAACGTATTTGTAAATTTTTGACCAGAGTTTCTGTTATATTTTATTTGCTTAACAACCTGAAACATGCCGTAAATAGATTATAACTACGATGAAGTGTCATTAATTAAATATATTATCGATAGGTGTAGTCATTTGTGTTCAATAATGGTAGAGAGCATATTCCATCGTAGTGCAAATTTTTGATATAATGTTGTAGAGATGGATTGTTTCATTTACCACACGCATAATACAGTACAAAAAGCCGTGGTTTCAATGGGAAAACGCACAGTACAACACAGAAAAAAGCGCAATTCGCAATTGTGCAAAATTTTACACTACATTTAAAGTTATATAGATGTAACATGCCACATCTAGGCATTATTCTTTCAGTTTAAAAATATGTATCCAATTCACGACAATAAATGGAGTTTTCCTTGCTTATGATATATTCTACAGAGATAAGATGTTAGTTGAACTGCTTACCAGCTGCCTGCCCACTCTTAGCAACGGTCGATTTAAGCCAATCAAACGTGAACGGTAACATTGACAAGACTTCTTTTTACGAAACCACCCGCATCGCAGTTAAACCGAAGCAAAGTTGAGGTGTCGATTGATATTAGCCAATTCTTACTTTTCTAATCGAGTCAGATGATTTTAATTTTGAAATAAGCCAAAGAAGGCCCCGTGGATAGTTGGACCACTGTGGTTGACGGAAACACGAGAGAAAAGGTAAAGCTTATCATCCGCAGAATTATCATAGTTGTAGGGGCAAGGCTGACCGGATCTCAGGTCATCGAAACAGAGAGAGAAGGAAAACAGATTGCCAGGTTTTAGCGAGAATCTAAAAATGTTTTTTACAGAGGCCTTTATCAGTTAATTACTTCGTGTAAAAATTAACCTGCAAAATTTATGTGACAAAGCAACGGTGGGGGAAGGGGTAGGCATTTATAGATTATGCTAGTAAAAGTGGCATATCATGCTAGTAGCATTGCTTTTTTTTTGGCCAAATTATGCTAACATTATGCTCTTTTTTTCAAATTATGCCACGGTTTTTTTAAATTATGCTCTTTGAAAAAAATGCAAATAAGTCCAAAATATATATTTTTTAACTAGAAGCCGTTCGTCTACAGGAAAGAAACGCAACAAATCCACAATGAATTTCAAATAAACATGTGGTTCAGGTTAACA